TTTAAACTTCTAAAGTATTTTTTTTTTGCTTCAAACATTTTGTATTCATATTTATTTAACAAGAGTATAACTTTTATATGTGCATTTGAACATGAAATATTGTAAGTTACTGCACTCTATGTTGGTTCAGTAAACAGATATACAGTAAATAAGTATGTTTAGCATTATCTAGCTCAACGTCATAACTTTTTTTAGAGATGTGCAAAATCTCCAGTAGATATTTGYAACTTGTAAAAGCTGATTTCTGATTTGTCTATGATTTTTCTTAAAATCGTTTAAAAAGCTGGTTGAGAGTCCTCGCAGCTCCTTTCAGCTTAAATTAGCAACAGGGAAGATGGTGATAATTCTACAGCTTGTTTGTGTGTGTGTGTGTGTGTGTGTGTGTGTGGTCTTGTTTTTCCTACATCGTGGGGCCCAGTTTTAAGGAAAACGCAGCCTCGTGGGGACCGGGTGCTCCTTGGGCCCCACAACTTTGGAGGCTGGTTTTGGGTGTGGGGTTTAGGACCAAGGTGTGAACTGAGTTTAGGTTAGTTTTAGGGTCAGGTAAGGTACCTGTGAGGTTAACTTTAAGGTTGGTGGTCAGGGTTAGGATATGAAATTACCAAAAAATGAATSGKAGTCAATGGACGGGCCCCACAAGGATATAAAAACAAGTGTGTWTGTGTGTGTGACAACTGTTAAAAAACTATTTTTCTCCTTTGCTTTCTCAGGAGATTTAAGGTAATTACATAAATATCACCTCAAATTGCTGTGCTCCGGCTGCACTGAGTTTGTCAGAGTTCTGTTTGGTGGTTTTTGTGCTGTTTTGTGTGTTGCACACCTTTTCAAGCATCTAAACACCTAAAACCCACAGCACAACCCTAGCATGAGGTCCTTCATCCTTACATTGAGGACTTTAACTCACATTACACACACTTCAGAGCCCAGCCTTACGTCATCTCCTCAAGATACACTCCRATGTCTGAGCCTCTAGGGGGCAATGTTGTCCCAAATCTGGCCACCGCTGTTTCTCCCACCCCTTCAATTGCTCAGCAGGGTGACATCAGTTTTTAAGTGCTGATGTGAGGTCAGAGTTGGGATTTCCAAAGCAATAGTGGAGGTCAAGATATGGAACAGTGAAGCCCTTCCTCAGTCAGCAGCCAAGGCAGGCACCATAAAATACCTCATTGAATGTTATTTCCTGCTGTTTCAGCATGAAGACAACTATCCCCACAGAGGCATTAGGTGTYGAGTACAAGCTGTTATCGACAACAGCCCCTGTGGGAGGTGTGTTTTGTGTGTGGGTGTGTGCATGTGGGTGATAAATGCAGATGTATTTAAAATAGTTCTTCCAATAATTATGCTCAGTGTGAACTGTTACTTGTGCAGAGAGGCGATTAGAAAATCGAGGCTTCGGTGGTAATCTAAAATGTATTCTGTTTTCTGAAACACAAAGCCAAAAGTGACGTGTTTGTTCTCATTACTTCAATCTTGCTTTTCTATTTCCTCTCCTGTCCATAGTTTCATATTTTTTGTGTCTTCTTGTCATTTCTGATTCCCCTTTTCCCTCTCTGAGCACTATGTGTTTTTGGGAGACCAAAAAAAAAAAAAAAAAAAAAAAAAAAAGGATGAAGTGTGCAAGGGACCTGCTAAGCTGGATCATTTGGTCCCCCTGGTGAAGCTTCCATCCAGGACAACAGGCTCCACCTGGGGTTTGCATAACACAAACCCACACACTCCTCCTTGCTTTCGCTCATCATATCGGTGTCTCTCTGATACTCTTTTTGCCTCGTCCTTGTCCTTCCTCGACGCAGCTCTGGTTTCCAGCCTGCCCTCCTCTCAGATGCATCATCTGTTCGTGGAGTGCTCAGCTGTTGTTTAACCCGAGGCCAGAAGTGTTTTCAGTGTTTGTGCTTTATCACAGAGTGGAGCAGTTGTGTTTGGATGTTGTTCTGTTTGTGATGTTAGGAAATTTGAATCTGTTGACACTTTTCCACTCCTTTTAGCTATTTTTGACCWTTTATTCTGTTAATTAACATTAAGAGGATTTCAAAGTAGAAATGATTTGACTTTGTTTTAAACAGACTTGCCCCATTTTTCTTTATTTTTTACATTTTTGTTCTCTGCTATTGAATTGGCTTTTAAAATAACTTGCATCACAAGAAATAAAAAATGCATCTTCATAAATATTGTGTATCCTTGAAAGCTGTGATTTTAATTTGGTCATGGATCTTATGGAAATTAATTATTTGAGTCATTTCACAATGCAGGTTGTAAGTCAGTTTTTTTATTTTTGTAAATTATATTGGTCATGTACAGTGGTMGGCACCAGCCTGCTAAAGCGCAAATCTGCTAATTGCGGACCTAAATATTTCATTTGTGTTTTAACTGTCATAGTAATTTTCATAATTCATAAGCATATTTGCYCTTTCTAAAATTAAAATGCAGTACCGCTAATAACTAATTATCTACCAGTCATCGTTACCTTGAACAGTGGAAGGTATGACTGTCAATGAATCACAACACACGTGGTCTATCCAACAGCACCCCTCCCAGATAAACACACTTATTGGAAAGGTATACATCCTTGCTGACTGTTGCTTTCGGTCAGGGCTCTCATTTCCCGCAATGCTTTGTGTCTGCTTATGTAGCAGGAAAGCGATAGCAAAAACAGTTAACGTTTGTAATCCATACTAAAATTTTGTATGTATTGATTTATTTTACTTTATAATCAGAGCTTATAAAGTTTAAACGCTGGAGCTCAATACTTGACATAATTGGTCGAAGCAATCGGCCAACAGGGTTAGAGATGCAGAAATGATTTAAAGATGTTATGCTGATGAAGACACACATCTAGTGGTCAACTGAAGCAACTACATGGAACACTTTAAAATCCAAGCTCTTATTTTGAAGGGAAGGTAGTTTCCTGTACTCCGTGCTTTCATTTCTCGTCACAAATCAAATCCATCATGTACCAGAATGCATCGCTTCAGTTTTCCAATAAACAGTTTTAAAATTGCTTTATTGATGCTACTTTAATGAAAAATCTACAACAAAGAAAAGAAAAAGGCAAAGAAGCAGCCGAACTAGCAATCCTCAACAACTTTTTTAATTTTACATCAGGAGCCAAGGAAATCACATCCTCAGCAATCATCGGTTGTAGGATTAAGTTGAAAAAGAGTTCATACACCGNTAGTTGGCAGTGTTGTGCATATATTGTATAGGAATTGTTACCAGCTAATAAGTGTCAAATTGAACTTGCGCTTTAAAATTAGCTTCCGRTAYTMTTTCTATGGCATAAGCGCTTTTGAAGTTGCGGACCTAAATATCTTCAGAAGCGCTTTAGAAATTACGGAGCTAATTTTTGATTAGCGCTGCCCACCACTGGTCATGTCATATATATATATACTGTTTTTCAATTCACATATAAACATATAGCCTTAAAAAACGGTGTAAAGGTAATTTATATACTGTAGTTGAGCCCCAATGACATGATTTAATTCAAAATAATATATTGCACACATGGTAAATAGAGCGCTTTATCAAGTCCGACCCCAAAGGGCTTTACACTTACAGACATTCACCCATTCACACACACATTCTCACARTGATGATGGTAAGCTACATTATAGCCACAGCTGCCCTGGAGCACACTGACAGAGGCGMGACTGCCATGRACCAYTGRCACCGGACCCTCTGACCACCATCAGTAGGCAAGGTGGGTGAAGTATCTTGCACAAGGAGACAACGACTGAAACGGCTGGACGGGTGATCAAACCGATGACCTTCTGGTTCCAGGACGACTCCCCTAACCACTCCACCACAGCCGTGGCACATAACTAAAAGCAGCATTTTTTACACTTTCCTAACGATTTGGAATTTTGCACTCCTCGTTGTGTT